GGTTATAGGTGAAACAAAATTTGGGTTGTGTGAGTGGGGAAAAACCAGAAGTATGTCACCACCTCTCTACCCTCAGCAGCTTTCAGCGTGGCAATTACCCACTATTCCCTTCATTTTCTCCCATTCCCTTCCTTATTTCGGCCATTTATGTTCCAGCATGGCATATAAAACCAGCTCACTTGCCCTCCATCTCCTTCCTCCCCTCCCTTCAGCTGCTGCTCATATCCCAGCATATCTCATCCCTCCACCCTCCCTAATCTTCCCAACACCTTTACTCCCTCCCTTCAGCCATCACTGTCCTTGATTTTTTTCCCCCTTACTTCCACTTGCCCAGGACAAAATAGCCTGATCATGGAACCAAACAATCCCCAAATGTGCACATTTTGGTTTGGACATGGACCACACCAAGCAGCTGTTCTATGCATGGAATGTTCTGCACATACTAATTACAACACAGTGACCAAATGCAGACATGATGCTATTCAGAGATAGTTGTGGGATTCTGTGCTCCTTTCATAAGCCCGCCATCTCATGTAAGAATTTCTTCTATCTCTTCCTCCTCCTCCTCCAATTAATCTGACTAAGATGAAATTTAGCTGTTCTTCAAAATCTCAGTGGCTAACTTCTGTTTTCTTAATCACTAGCTTTATTATATCCGCATTGTGCTAGAGCTGAATACCTTTTTTGACAGAAATTTCAAGTGAATTGTCAATAAATACTATACTGCTTCTATTATGCTTAATAAGAATAGCTTATTCTGCTTCAACAATTGCCCTGCAAAATAGTGCAAATGAGTGTTATAAATTATAAATTACATATTATGTTGTAATTTTTTTCCAAAACTAGAGGATTTAAACATTTTTTTATCTTAAATATTATCATGCCATTTTAGATAATGTTAAGTTGATAAAATAGCCAATTTACTTACCACTCTTTCTTCTTCACAGGCTAAAACAGTATGCCAAGAGAAAAAATAAGTGCATGTTCTCTTATCAAAGGAGAGGAGAACTGGCTGGCTGCCAGGCCCAGCATCCAACCTGCACACAAAGCTGAAATAACTTATGTACTTCAAATCAGGATCTGCAGGACAGGACTCGCCTTCTTTGTATACAAGTTTCAAAACTCCATCTTCATAGGTTAATGCTTTGCTCAGTCGTCCAGCATTAATTGATGGCTGATGGCCACCACTGACACAAACTCCTATTAACAGATTTAATAGAGCAATGCTAGCGTTTTTCCTTGTTTTTTGACAGAAGAAATGTTAAGTTCCCTTAACATTTAGTACAATTAGTAGGGAATATGCTACCTTTGTCAATAAGTCTAGAACAAGATATGCTTTTAGGATTTTGGTTAAAAATCTATTCTTTAGTACTGGGTTCAAGTTGCTCAGTGATTCACTGAGTAGCCCTAACATAGGTCTTTTCAGACTGATTTCCTCAATTTAAAAGTGGGCAGAACACTAGCCTATTATTAAGGCTTCTTAATATCAGACAGATGGGACAGTGTCTTCACCAGATTCAACCCACAGCATGGTAAGTACTGAACATACACCTTTTTCCTCCACCTGTCTTGTATCCCACCCTATTAACAATAGTAAGGCCCATTCGAGTATGGCATAAGGGTCTTCAGTGTATGCTTGTAAAATATAGCATGCATATGATCCGATAACCTTTTTACCATTATCCCAGATAAATTTTGGAAATTGAGTAATCTGAGCCAATTAGCGGGTTTTACAGGTCCCCATTTTTTAAAAAGAAGTTACAGGTAGGTCATGATTAGTGCAAGTTTGAATACTGTGAAATTTGATTTAGAGTGACTTATAAATTGATACCAGGTCGCATTTAATGAAAGCCAAAATTCAATTAGTGCGAGGCTAGTGGGAGTGCAATTGAAGCGAACACATGCACAGCTGCTGTTGGGGTTATAGACACTAATCGTCTTTTGTGCAAAATGGAGAAAAGGAAGGTTCATTTTGAAAAACTACAGAATACGGAAGATAACAGGTATGCTTTGGATATGGGTTTATCCTCTTTTACTGTTATACAGTATTTTATTAATAAACATATTAAAAAGTTATGTTAAATTTTGAAATTGCCTATTTCCATCAAGCTGGAACTAATTACCCTATTTCCCATAGAAATATCATTTTGAATAGTGCGAATTCAAATAATGCAACCATTTCATGGGATTCATTAACTGCACAAATCGAGAGCTACCTGTACAACCTGTATAGATGGCTGATAAGTGCAAAGATTAGACAGATACTGGATGTACTGGGAAGGAAGGAAAAGTTTGTACCACAGGGAGAAGAGCACACCTGGTTAGCTAGATACTATCCTACATTTTTATTGAAATGTACATTACTACACTGCTATTGCTACATCAGATAGCAATACTACCATAGGTTTAAGAAAAGAAAGTATCACAATGATCTCTTTCCATCTTATGGGTTCAATATCAGCATCTAGCAAGTCGAAACTTACCTATGTCTCCACTGCATGAACTTCTAGGTTCATCACACACACTCAACTGGAGTGTTCTCTGGTTCGCCAAATCAAAGAGAGTGTAGCCATCCTGTCTCTTTAAAGGATTAAGGTCAAAGAGATGACCTGAAAGAGAACAGAGGTGGAAAAAAGGAATAACTAGATTTACTGTGGAAAGCACTTGTTTGTTAAAATAACCAAGATGCCCCAAAAGTTGTCTCCAACAGAAGGACATCAAGTAAAATCAGTATAAAAGCCATTCATTCAGGACTTTTGACATATATAGCCACAGAATTTTAAGCATGAACCGTAAATATTAGTGTATATGGTGTAATGGTTTGCAGCTCAGTGTAACTTACAAGGTCCACAGAATGAGATCCAAATCTCTTCTCTTACTGTAGTCAAGCAATAGATAAAAACTTTCATATAATGATGAATTATGTTTTTTTACTCTTTACCGGGGGGTACAGGTAATCCTCGAATTAAGATGGCAATTAGGACTGAAATTTCCATTGCTAAGCAGTGCAGTCGTAAAGCGTGATGTCATGTGACCACATCACTTAGTGATAGCAATCCCAGCACTCCCTGTTGCTGTTGTTAAGCAAGGACCAGTGGGAAGAGGCAGGAATCCAGGCAAGCAGGAGGGTGGGCAAGAGTTATGGAGTGCGGGGCAGGTGCCACGGAGTGCAGGCAGGCAGGCGCCATGGGCAGGCACTATGGTGTGTGGCCAGGCAGGCACTATGGAGTACAGGTGAGTGGGTGGCTGAAAAAATGGCAGGAGCTACTCGTAGCCTCCTGTCAGCTTCCCCATTGACTTTGTGGGAAGCTGGCAGGGAAGGTCGCAAATTGAAATCAAGTGACTGTGGGAATGCTGCAAGGGCCACAACTTTGATGACCAGTCATCCCTGTTCAGCGCCATCATAACTTTGAATGGCCACTGAATAAGTGGTCATAACCTGAGAACCACCTGTACAGTTCTTTTTACAAGAAAGGCAGGCAAAGCCTGTAATATACACATTAAAGCATCCTTGTTTGCACTGCTGTTCTGCATAACACAGATGCTTCAGGAAGGGTTCCGCTCAGCTGTGAATCTGGAAACAAACATGCTACTTTAATGCTTCCATACGTTCCACAGTATTTCTTCTAATTGAATCCAAAGCATCACACATCCTTATGATTTCAGCATAACTGCTTAAACCTGCACAGCTTGAGAAGTTCTCAAATCCAAGAGATCTATTGACCCTTCTTCTAATGCAAACTCCCCCTGAAATTATATGGATGTGCGTATTTTCCTGCAATCAGACAAAAATAGCAAATACTTCCAAGATTAAAAAAAATGAGAGAGAAAGAGAGATATCAATGGACGTTAATATGCTGGAACTCTGGACCCTTTGCTTTGCTCTTAGACAGCAGTAGCGGTATTGAAGTAGCTTCAAGGAAATACTTTAATCTATAAAGCACACATCTGAAGATTTTGCACAGTCCTAATCAATTCATTACTTGAACAAAAAAAAAAAATGAATACCATTACCTTAAAAAGCATTCTTATTCATGAGAAATGGGGAACATTCATCTCAGTCAAGTTAAAAGGAAAAGGAAAATGTTTTTAATACATAAAAAAAGAAATCATAACAAAGCAGTAATTCATTTCATCAAAAGTGAATATTGATTAGTGTGTTTATTGTTCTCAGAGGTCAGTCATACACTAGTTCTAGATATTCTCAACTAAAGACTAAAGAATAAAATTTATAAGGAAAGGAAAACAGCATTTACCAAATATGGAGGCAAAGCGGTGCTAAGTAATATGAAGGGGAGGATGGATATACAGACCAGAGGGCAACTTCCTGGCTAGCAAAAATGAGGAACACAGGAATGATGTTTTACAGGACAAGAAAAAGCAGAATTTCTCTAGATAGGAAGGCAACTATGTCCAGTCCTGTGAAAAAGCACTTGCTCCCTTTTGGATTTCTTGACCTTTTGTCTATATTTGTCAATGAATGTTATCAGAGCTTCATGTGGGTCTCACTGAGCCTCACCCAAGTTTATTACCAAGGTCAACCAACATACAATATGCCAGTGAGAAAACTAATCACCCTCTTAGGTTCAATAACTGGTTGTTCTACCTTTAGCTGTAATAACTGCAAGCAAATACTTTCGGGGCTCAGTGATCATGGTCTATGGAAATTGTGGCCCATTCCTTCAAAGCAAACTGCTTCAGTTCAGTAACATTTGAAAAAACTCTGAGGATTTTCTGGCATGAACTGCTTGTTTCACGCACGGAGGCAACATTTCTACAGCGTTTAGATCTGGACTTTGAGTCCTCTCTTCTACTTACTTGTTACACCTGTTAAACCTATGTTTAGATGAAAAAAAATTACCTGTACGAGGGTTGGACACGGTGCAATTATTGTGCATATTGCTTTTCAGAGGACATGCGGCAGCTGTATACCACATAAAATTATATTCACAATCCATATGGACGGTTACCAGTTCTGGCTTGGAATCCTGCGGGGGGGTGGGGGGAAAGGGAGAATATGAATATTTGCAAAGCTGATATATAATGGTTCTCTCAGTATTTCAAGAAACAGCTTTTCCACTTAGAAAAATAATGAAACATGGCAAGCTAGGAGTCAGTTCATCTTTTTTCAGAGGTCACATAAAAATTGTGACTAATGTTGATTAACTGGATGATGTTAGTGAATTTACATTTTAAGAGAGGTATGAGCACGATCTCCAGATGCTTTGAACTGTTATGTCCATCAGCATAACCTAGACAGCATATTCAACAGTCAGGAATTTTGGAACATTGGTCTAAGCATCTGGAAGATACCAGTTTGCTTCTCATTACTTTAAGGTTTTTATGTAGCAGAAAATATCACTTTTTGTTTGTTTTCTACATAGTGAATCTACACTGGTTATCTGCTATCTTGCTATCACGCCTAAATAGCTGTAGCTGAATAACTGCTTTATCCTACAAAGTGGAAAGATGGATCTGAATCCATCTTCTTCCAAGATGGAGCAGATTTATGAAAATGAGATCTAAATAGACATTAGGATTCCAATTCTATGACCATTATTTTCCTAGAAGCCTATGCAACTGTTCTCTATGAGTCCTTAATTAAACATACTCACATCTTTCTTTTCATCACATTTGAAATGGATGATTGTAGACTTCTTCCGGATCTGGTCTTCACATCTCTCACCATTGATATATTTAAGAACAAAAATGCCATTTTCCCATCTGAGCCCCTCAGCCACTTCACCTAAGCTTATATAGTTAGACCCATTCATTAGGCAGGCTGCAGCATCTGGTGGGCAAAAATCTAAATGTGGAACCAAAAAATAAATAAATAAAACAAAACAGTGATGAAAGAACAATAATTTAGTATTGATACACACACACACACACAATGCACTACTTTAAAAAATAATGTTTTTAAAAAATTCTGGATCTGTCAAAAAAAAAGTAAGATTAATTCAAGATGAAACAATCCTTTTACAGATGATGATTTTATATAATCATTTATTTTTGCATATTAATATAGTAGATTTCAATTTCTTTTACTGGTCAGAGATTTTCACAAAAGGGACCCTTTAGACAAGCAAATAAAGCAAATTTTTTCCTATAACAAAATTGTCTGTTCTGACTAACACATTTATTATGACTTAAACTCTCACAGAATACAGCCTACTTTATCAGATAAGTTCATAGGACTTTGTTTTAACTACAACAGTTGAACAGAGTCCATTATCCTATTGAAAACTGCTCAATAAGTTTGAGACAACAGGACTTCACTGCATGAAAAAATGAGGCATCTAAATAGAACAATCACTAGTGTACTTGAGCCTGATAATATTTTTGAGGTTCATTATATCTATAAATTTCAACACTCAAATGGGCACTGACAATTTCACTTTCACACATGCTTTTACATAACTTGAGTTTCTCATTACTTGTCTTGGATGAAATTATCTCAGTTAAAACTTTATTCAAGAGGATTGTATCTCATGATTGCTCATTCTCATTGTCACCACTTCAGGAGAACATGATGAACTGGACTGTGTGAATTAGATTTTGACAAACCTATTAGTCTTGTGGCCGTTATGCAAACTGGGATAATTTTGAAGAGCATTCTGCTAACTGTATTGTCGAAGGCTTTCACGGCCAGCATACAGTGGCTGGTGTGGGTCTTCCGGGCTGTGTGGCCGTGTTCTTGAAGTTTTGTTTCCTTACGT